CAGTCACTCCTGACTGGTGAGGAAGCCTGTCAATCATCCAATCGGCCAATCAGCGGGAGAAAAGGTCAGAATGGAGCAGATGACTGAGGAGTTCGCGGCCATCTTGCTTCATTGAAGATGCGATGGAGGTCCTGTGTGCGGCGGATTCGGGTCACTGAAGATGGCGGACGCGGCACAGGTACTCGTTTTTTGTATCGGAGTATTTGCACGAGTACTCATGCAAATATTTGGTATAGCCGCCGATACCGATGCTTGTATCGGTGCATCCCTAATACTAATGGTAGCCTCAAGCATGGAGCAGACATGATATCTTTTTGTCAGGTTCACATGAATAGGGGCTCCATCTTGGTTAGCAGACCTGTAGGTGGGAAACTAAGATGTGCCTGACAGGTGGAGAGAAGCCAGCAATGCAGGCAGGGGGCCACTGTCTCCATGGAAATGGCAGTCACCATTTTCGTACATATGTTGTCCTTCTGGGGGCAGTTGGTGGACATTGATTTGTGTTTTGATGTGGGCACATGGCAGTTACCTGTTGATAGTCACATCACCAGGAAAGGTGTAGGACACGGAGCTCGGCCATAACGATGCCATGCAGCAATCTTCATGGTTGTAGCGAATAAACATTCTGCATTGTTAAGGCAGAAAGAGACAAAAAAGCAAAGTGTGAACATAGTATCGATTTGGAAAAGTTGGTCTTTGGGTTGTTTATACAGTTTTCTCTGTTTCGGTAGAAAACATGGCCAACATGAAGCGGGAAAGGTCACCTACCGATCTCCACTTACCTCCTTGTGCTGAGGAAATGGACTCTGATAATGTACAACAAAGACTCCAGATCTCCATCATGAACGCAGGACCATCAACAATGTCATCTGGAAGAGTCGCATACGCTGGACAGAACCAAGAGGCCAGAACCCAGAGAAATAAGAACTGCAGTGATCAATATAAAACAAAGAAACCCTTCCAGTGCCAGCGATGTGAGAAAAGCTTTAACTGCAGCTCCCACCTCATTATGCACCAGCATGTGCACACGCGTGAGAGACCGTATGTGTGTGAGTGCGGAAAGTCGTTCACTCAGAGCTCCAATCTGTTCCGTCATCAAAGAGCCCACCGGGGGGAGAGGCCTCATGTCTGCACCGTGTGTGGAAAGGCCTTCGCTCAAAGCTCCCATCTAAACATTCATAAAAGGACCCACACGGGAGAGAGACCTTATGTGTGTGGCAACTGTGGCAAAAGCTTCCTTGCAAACTCTGCACTGGTGAGACATCAGAGGGTTCACATAGGAGAGGAGAAATGTACTGGTGCTGCCCGTGGGAAGAGCACCTACCTTTATACCTACCAGAAATCCTCCGCTCAACAAAGTCTGTCACTTCAAAGCCCTCTTGTCCTTTCCCGGACATCGAAGACTGTGTCCAGGTGAGCAGAACCACTCCCAGCCTCACCCTGATAAACTTCCTTACATCGAGTACTGCCCCAAGGTGACCGGAGCTACTCCCAGCCTCACCCTGATAAACTTACCTGCATAGAGTACTGCCCCAAGGTGACCGGAGCTACTCCCAGCCTCACCCTGATAAACTTACCTGCATAGAGTACTGCCCCAAGGTGACCGGAGCTACTCCCAGCCTCACCCTGATAAACTTACCTGCATAGAGTACTGCCCCAAGGTGACCGGAGCTACTCCCAGCCTCACCCTGATAAACTTACCTGCATAGAGTACTGCCCCAAGGTGACCGGAGCTACTCCCAGCCTCACCCTGATAAACTTACCTGCATAGAGTACTGCCCCAAGGTGACCGGAGCTACTCCCAGCCTCACCCTGATAAACTTACCTGCATAGAGTACTGCCCCAAGGTGACCGGAGCTACTCCCAGCCTCACCCTGATAAACTTACCTGCATAGAGTACTGCCCCAAGGTGACCGGAGCTACTCCCAGCCTCACCCTGATAAACTTCCTTACATAGAGTACTGCCCCAAGGTGACCGGAGCTACTCCCAGCCTCACCCTGATAAACTTACCTGCATAGAGTACTGCCCCAAGGTGACCGGAGCTACTCCCAGCCTCACCCTGATAAACTTCCTTACATCGAGTACTGCCCCAAGGTGACCGGAGCTACTCCCAGCCTCACCCTGATAAACTTACCTGCATAGAGTACTGCCCCAAGGTGACCGGAGCTACTCCCAGCCTCACCCTGATAAACTTACCTGCATAGAGTACTGCCCCAAGGTGACCGGAGCTACTCCCAGCCTCACCCTGATAAACTTACCTGCATAGAGTACTGCCCCAAGGTGACCGGAGCTACTCCCAGCCTCACCCTGATAAACTTACCTGCATAGAGTACTGCCCCAAGGTGACCGGAGCTACTCCCAGCCTCACCCTGATAAACTTACCTGCATAGAGTACTGCCCCAAGGTGACCGGAGCTACTCCCAGCCTCACCCTGATAAACTTACCTGCATAGAGTACTGCCCCAAGGTGACCGGAGCTACTCCCAGCCTCACCCTGATAAACTTACCTGCATAGAGTACTGCCCCAAGGTGACCGGAGCTACTCCCAGCCTCACCCTGATAAACTTACCTGCATAGAGTACTGCCCCAAGGTGACCGGAGCTACTCCCAGCCTCACCCTGATAAACTTACCTGCATAGAGTACTGCCCCAAGGTGACCGGAGCTACTCCCAGCCTCACCCTGATAAACTTACCTGCATAGAGTACTGCCCCAAGGTGACCGGAGCTACTCCCAGCCTCACCCTGATAAACTTACCTGCATAGAGTACTGCCCCAAGGTGACCGGAGCTACTCCCAGCCTCACCCTGATAAACTTACCTGCATAGAGTACTGCCCCAAGGTGACCGGAGCTACTCCCAGCCTCACCCTGATAAACTTACCTGCATAGAGTACTGCCCTAAGGTGACCGGAGCTACTCCCAGCCTCACCCTGATAAACTTACCTGCATAGAGTACTGCCCCAAGGTGACCGGAGCTACTCCCAGCCTCACCCTGATAAACTTACCTGCATCAACTACTGCCCTAAGGTGACCGGAGCTACTCCCAGCCTCACCCTGATAAACTTACCTGCATAGAGTACTGCCCCAAGGTGACCGGAGCTACTCCCAGCCTCACCCTGATAAACTTACCTGCATAGAGTACTGCCCCAAGGTGACCGGAGCTACTCCCAGCCTCACCCTGATAAACTTCCTTACATCGAGTACTGCCCTAAGGTGACCGGAGCTACTCCCAGCCTCACCCTGATAAACTTACCTGCATCAACTACTGCCCTAAGGTGACCGGAGCTACTCCCAGCCTCACCCTGATAAACTTACCTGCATAGAGTACTGCCCCAAGGTGACCGGAGCTACTCCCAGCCTCACCCTGATAAACTTACCTGCATAGAGTACTGCCCCAAGGTGACCGGAGCTACTCCCAGCCTCACCCTGATAAACTTACCTGCATAGAGTACTGCCCCAAGGTGACCGGAGCTACTCCCAGCCTCACCCTGATAAACTTACCTGCATAGAGTACTGCCCCAAGGTGACCGGAGCTACTCCCAGCCTCACCCTGATAAACTTACCTGCATAGAGTACTGCCCCAAGGTGACCGGAGCTACTCCCAGCCTCACCCTGATAAACTTACCTGCATAGAGTACTGCCCCAAGGTGACCGGAGCTACTCCCAGCCTCACCCTGATAAACTTACCTGCATAGAGTACTGCCCCAAGGTGACCGGAGCTACTCCCAGCCTCACCCTCATAGACTTGTGCTTATCTCCCAGAAAGGTTGGTGGAGGGTGTCCGGGAAGAAGCTCTGGAGATTGATTTTTCTATGGCTTGGAGGATTATTCAGGAAGAAGATGAAATAAATATCAGAATCCCAGTATTGGAGCTTTGTGTTCTATGTCTGACTTCCCTGGTGACGATAGAGCCGGGAACAACAGTTACTCATTTCTATCCATGTAGGGACAAGATCAGAATATGTGCAGTCAATGTGTGACATAACCCCTCTCTTACCCCAAAACTATGTGCTGCAGTGCCAGTGTCCCCCTTCCCCCAACAGCCCATGTGCTATGCCACAGGTCATTGAGCTCCTCTGTCTGATGACATCACATGCTGTACATGGCCCCCAGGACACATGTCATTGAGCTCCATTGTCCGATGATTAAAGTGTTTGGTTCCTCTTTTTGTAGGTTTGTG